AAAAAAAAAAAAAAAAAAGTAAACATGAAAAATAGAAACCCCTCAAAGAAAATACAAACAATGAGATAAACTTTGAATTTTTAACTCTTTTTCGAATCCTGAGTCAGAGCAGGCGCAGGATACTTCATGTACTGGACTGTTCTTTAATTTAATTAATTAGGACATTGGAAGCCAGAAGGGGCTTTCTTGGAGCAAACATTAAGAAGCAAACTCAATGAGACGGGTACATTAAGATTAATGCCTAAAACATTAGCCTTAATAGCAGTACAAAGACAAAGAGCAGCTTCAACATCAGCAAGTCCTGAAATAAGACTACAACAAGGTTTCACTGGTGGTGAACCAACAACAACATTAACTAATCCAAGAACATTAGCACAAACACCTAATTTTAGTGTATCAATTGGGCAAGTTTCCTTTTTTGGAACATATGGAGGTGGAGGACAAGAAGGCTTTGGTTTTGGTTTAGGACAAGTTCCACAACCTGAAACAAATGTGAAGAAAATTAGGTTAAAGGTAAGGAAAAGAGCAAGAGTAGAGAAAGCCTTGTTGGAAGCCATTTTTTTTTTATTAAAAAAAAAAACTTGATTTTAAGAAGTGGTTTTCTTGGTGAAGTGATGAGTATGCATGGAGGTATTTATAGTGTTGAAATAGTAGATTTATATCTTAGTTTATTCAGCAATTTTTTTTTCCAGTCTCAGTCCTTGCACTGCTGGCATTTTTGGTGGTATTTTTTAGTTTTTTTTTTAGTTTGATCGTCTGGTATTTAAAATTCACTAATTCAATTAATTAGATTTTTGCTTGGTAAGGACACTGAGGAAAGTAAATTGCTCCCTATCGGAAGGTTAGTTCTCTATTCTCAAAGCTCAAATTCGAGGTCTAGAGCTAAAAATATAGAGATTAATCATCCTACCACACCTTTTAGTGGTGATATATGTATGAATATTTGAGATATTACTAAAATTTTAATAAAAAATAGTTTTGAACTTACAATTTTAAAAGTGCAAATAGATTACAACAACATACCGATATTTCTCGAATATTGAATCCATTAAGATAAAAACCTTGGATCTGTCTCGATATTTATAATTACGGAAAAGGCCTAAAAATGACACTCAACTTTCAGAAATGGTCTATCCATTCCATCCGTTAAAAAATTGTTATTTTCATGCCACTGCCGTTACAGAAATGGCTCATCTATGCCATTATTAAACTAACGACACAATTTGACACAATTTTTTTAAAAAAAATTTAACACTAACATTTTCACGTGTAATGTCTTCATTGGTCCGAATTAAGCCATGCCCCACTTAATTTTAACCTCGGTTAGGTCGATTAACCCAAACCCCACCCCGGTTAGATTTTTAGGTTTTCTAAATTAAGTCATCTTCTTCCTTGTTTGAAAACTTCTGCCATGGCTGCTCTTTGAGACCTTGGCACTTAGACCCACTTCTCTGCACCACCCGAACTCCTTCATCTCAAATAAACACACCACGCCTCTTCTCGTTGATTAATTTTTAGTTTTTTTTTTGCAGATCTTTTGGCGAGAAATTATGATTTGATTCAGTAATTAAAGTTTTTTATACCTCCCCCAACCATTAAAACTTGCCTCAAGCTTTTGCATAGAAAATTTTTTTTTTCTGGAGAATCTTAGAGCTTTTGTCATGGCGAAGTCGGAGAATCTGGCCTTAAAAATTTTGATTCAAATTCACCGGAAAAGATGAATTTTTGGGTGTGTTTTCTGGTGATATTAGTTAGTTAATGGTGGCCTTGTCATTAAGTAAAAGGTGTGGGAAAGAGACTACGGTGGAGAGAGGAGATGGACGACAGCTATGGCGGTTTAGAACTTTAGATGGGGAAGATGAGGGATATAGTTGTAATTGTAATCGACCTAACCGAGGTTAAAATTAAGTGGGGCATGTGTTAATTCGGACCAATAAAGACATTACACGTGGAAATGTTAGTGTTAAAAAAATTTAAAAAAAAATTGTGCCGTTAGTTTAATAATAGCATAGATGAGCCATTTCTGTAATGGCAGTGGCATGGAAATAACAATTTTTTAACGGATGGCATGGATAGACCATTTTTGAAAGTTGAATGGCATTTTTCGAGGGTTTCAAAAGATAATAAGGAAAATAAAGGGAAAAATGCATCAAATTAAGTTACTGAGATTATTATGATCATCTTTTTCAATTTTGCTAACTCCGCTACCAATAAGGCTAATTTTTTTTTTGCCTGTGGATGAATGTCAAGTGTTTTAAGAGTGAAGAGAATGACCAAAATCAAAATTAAACCGTTACTGAGTAATTAATTTTTGGACTAAAAGGGCAAAAATAGAGCAATATAAACAATGAAAATTCATATAGCCGTTCCAACTTGCTTGAGGTTGAGGCACTACAATTGTTATACTGAAAAATTAACCAAAGGTAAAAAAGTTCCTACTTTTAACACTTCGATGTTTTTATTATTGGAGTCTAACTATGTTCGGATTCTTGTCGAAAAGTCCAATATTGAGAATAAAACTTTCTAACAAAAGCGACTCTATACTCAGGATTTGAGCCCGAGATCTCTAGATCATCACTTTGGTGCTAACATGCATAATAATAATACACAATATGGAGAAATTTTAAGCACCCATGTGCCATTAAGTTATGACCTTTGGCTCTATGCAAAAAACACAGCCAAGAATTTGGAGGTTTGTGTTAAAGCTAAGAATACACAAGTTGGTTTCTGAATTTCTTGGTCTGTTAATAATCAGATTCAAGAACAGTGATGGTTGTTTTTTTTTTTTTTTTGTACAGCTAATTAATTATAATACATAAATTCTAGAAAACCAGTGGGCTATTTATATAGTACACAAAAAATTGTTCGTTGTCTACCTTATATTGGTTATTGATGGTCCTATTTGCAAGAAAATATCTTTTTATTGGATCAGCAGTGATTCGTTTCTTTTTGGATTGTACCTAAAAGATGATTCTTTTAGTTATAATCAATTCTTCTTTCTTTTCGTGAGAAATGGAATTTATGTTCAATCTGAAAGTAACTCGTTGCACTTCCTAGGTTTTACACATGATCTCATGTGTGCACCATTATGATTTAGCACCTAACTTTTACACTAAAAAAAAACAGCTCGGTACACTAAGCTTCCGTTATGTGCGGGGTACGGGAAGGACCGGACCACAAGAATCTGCTGTTTCTATGGCTCGAACTTGTGACCTCCTGGTCACATGGCAGCAACTTTACCAGTTGGGTCATGGCTCCCCTTCATCACCTAACTTTTACGCTATGTGTCAGACATCCGCATTTGAAAATTTGAGTCGCATAAGGAGGGAAAATGCTTCCTATCAGGATTTTTTTCATTTTCGGAGCTCGAACCTGAGACCGCTGGTTAAAAGTGAATAGATCATATTCATCCCACCACAATCCTAGATGATAATTTAAAGGGTGATATTTTTATAAGTTGGTCATATTTTCTATTGTTTTTATCTTTACCCTCTCTTTACTTCTAAAAATATTTATTTACACCAAATGCTTATATTAAACTAATAAAAATATAACAAGTATTTTTTTTATATTTGTTTTTGGGGTATTATCACTTTTATCCCGCTCTAGAAACTATTAACATTCGGTAGTCGAAAAGTGTATCATATATATATATATATATATATATATATATATATATATATATATATATATATCGATATATATATATATATATATNATATATATATATATATATCGTCAATTATTTTGAGAACATTTACACAATGTCATTTTTCGTTTTTATTTTATTTAATTATGATTAACTATAACAAGCATTTTTTATATATTTGTTTTTGGGGTATTATCACTTTTATCCCGCTCTAGAAACTATATATATATATATATATATATACAAAAATATATATTTTTCATCAATTATTTTGAGAACATCTATACAATGTCATTTTTCCTTTATTTTATTTAATTATGATTAACTATAACAAGCATTTTTTATATATTTATTTTTGGGGTATTATCACTTTTATCCCGCTCTAGAAACTATATATATATATATATATATATATATATATATATATATTTTATCAATTATTTTGAGAACATCTATACAATGTTATTTTTCCTTTTTTTTATTTAATTATGATTAACTATAGTAAAGATTCGCTTCAAATTTATCGTTTAATCATAATAAAGTAGAATGTTTGATGTAAATAGTTATGTGGTAGTGTTTTTTTCCCATTCGCACCCCAAGCACTTATTTTCCTTCCCTTAGCGCCCCACAAGATAGAACAATGGTTACTTAAGGACAAAACTCATAGCTAAATATATCGGAAAAGGGTTAAATATGACCTTATACTATTGAAAAAGGTTAATATCACCCTTTGTTATACTATCAATCCAAATATACCCCTCACGTCATACTATCGGTCCAAATATAACCCTGACATCATGAAAGTGGTACAAACCTACCCTTCCTCCGTTAACTGCCTTCCCTATGAACATTTTATTGCTACCTCACCATTTCACCCTGTTTGCAGCTACCAAGTATAATTACTTTGAAGTTCTATCACTATTTTGAAGACTTCACTGCCTCTACTTCCTCTTGCTTTTCAAAATACCTGTTGCTTCTCCGACCGATACTGGAATTATACGTACCTACCTTTCACTTGACCTTACAATTTTGTGCTTTATTTTGCTTTTCCTTGTGTTGTCGCTGAATCTGTAAGACATATTTAGAGAAAATTTAGTAGCACTTTTATTTTAACATAAAACGTAAAGAGAGAAAAAATGGTAGCCTTCCAGAAATGTGGTTGAAGAGAAAGAAACAAAAAAAAAATTAACTCTCGTGTTTAGGTTATTTTTCTTTCTTACCATGGTAAATTTTGAAACCTTAAACTAGTTTGCTTGTATCTTTGCTTAGTTTTTTATATAAAACAAAATGTATTTTCGTCTGTATAAGCATTAATTTTGAATAGCAAAATCAGAATTTTCTCGGTTCACATTGCTTCATATTATCTTTAGTTGTTAGCATTTCGTTTGATATAGTTTGTTTGTATATCTATGATCTGTGATTTTTCTTCAAATGAACTGGAAAGAAAGATTGTGGGGAAGGGATGAAAATGGGAGTATAATGGTGAGGTGGCAATGAAATGTTGCAATAGGGAGGCAGTTAACGGAGGAAGGGTAGGTTTGTACCATTTTTATGATGTCAGGGATATTTTTGGACTGATAGTATAACAAAGGGCAATATTAGATCTTTTTCAATAGTATAGGGGTATATTTGACCCTTTTCCGTAGCCTCTGGACCTAGTTAAATCAAATTTTTAGTATGAAACTTCTCTTTCCAAGTCTACAAAAAATCTCTCTAGTTGACCATTTAATAAGGCATTTTTTCTCATCTTAACCTAAATCAAATTGTATTAGAAATCCATTTTCCACATCTTATTTGGAACTAAAAGTGCCTTTTGGCATGAAGGAGCATGTTTCACGGAAAATATTATTCTAGAAAATAATTTCTTGTTTTCTGATATTTAATATAAGTAAAAAGAATATGAGAATTCGACTCAAAGGACTGACATATTAGTTGGGAGAATCGACTCAACCTATAAACTAGAAC